CTATATAATAATAATAGACTAGAAAAAGATAATGGTTAATGATAATTTGTTACATTAAATGAAGAAATGATTATTTCTGAAATGTAAAATTTTAAATAAACTTATTATAAACAAAAATGCATGATTCTGAGCCTAGAATGTCTTACAATATACTTACGTTGATCACTAAAGCTTGAAATATAGCTCCTATGTAACCCTTCAAAAGCAACTTGATCATTTTTCACACACATACCAAGAACATAGAAAGCAAAATATACACGTTAAAAAATACATCTCAGGTTAAACATATTTTTGTGCGCAGTCACGTGACTTTTTCTATTCTAAATTCAATTGAAGTCACATGTTTCACAACATAAAAAAGATCAATGATCAATTTTGTCACATGTGATAAAACGAATGTCCACTATGCTGTGGTGGTTATCGTCATTTGTTTATACATGGATGGTAATTATCTTGCCAAAAACATAATACATAATTACAAAATCAATTATGAATGATGAAACTAAATGACACCTATTATTTATCTCATTATACTAGTGCAAGCGTGTAAATTCAATTACAGCTTGGGTTGTGTCCAATAAATATATAAGATAAAATAAAATAAAAAGTCCAATATATAAATCTCCCTGTATCGGCACACAGCTCAGGGTTCTCAAATCTATACCAGGCCTCTGTATTGGCACACAGCTCAGAGCCTACTCAAAACTCTATTCAGGTCTCTGTATCAGCACACAGCTCAGAGCCTACTCAAAACTCTATTGCGCAATTCTCACTCTACAGTACTACTGCTGGCCTAAAAATGATAAATAAAATAAAATAAAAAGAATATATACAAGAAATATTTACAACTATACCACTTGAGGTGTCCCTACAAGCAGCATAGAACAATCAAACGGGGGGGTCCTAACTAATGATTAGTGGCCAGCCACTAATCATCAGAGGGGACCATGGAACAATTCACAATGGCTTTTCCTATTAACTATGCAAAAATTCGTAATAAGGTAAAATGTGTTTATTTAATTATTAACAACGGGGGGGGGGGGGATTTATTCAATTATTATTAATGTTATTAACATTATCCCTCCTCTCACTTGGTCTAAAACCAAGCCTTTTTATACCTCTTGAGGTATTACAAATAACATGACCTTTACAATATTTTATCCAATAAAATATGCTTATTAATCCTATTTTCTGTATTACTAGCTTACTAATTGCTAATTACTAATGCTATGACTCATAATTACTAATCCTATGAGTCATTATTACAAATAATTTGATTAATAATTCGAAGTAAATAATTATGTCATAAAATAAGTTAAAAATAGAAATGATGTAATGATCTACATGTGTAACATGATGTGCAACCGTTGCAATAAATATAGAAAGATGATTGTTAATCGTGATGTAATATTTAGCGCATCACATGACTTCCGTAGTAAGTTCGTTCTAATTGGTCAATATTAACAGTCAATTGGTTGGTCCACGGTTTACAATCTCACAGTGCAAATCATCTAGAGTCATCAAAAAAAATCTGCAACTTCAAATCACTAAGGCTTTTTTTTTATTAATAAAATTGAAAAAACTTTATTTTTGCAAACTTTAGAAACTATGCAATAATTAAATAGTGAGCTTTTTCAATTTTATTAATAAAAAAAAAAAGCCTTAGTAGTTGAAGTTGTATCAAAAAGAGATTTTGCACATGAGGATCTTTCCTATTTTAGAAAACTCCTTCACGTGACCAAGACAAATTTGGAAATTTTTTTCTTTGTATTTGTATATTGATATAGGGTTGTTAACAGTCCGGTCCAAAGACCATCAGTCTAATCAAATGATCAGTCTGAGACCGCGGCCCAGACTTTAAGGTTTTTATCCAGATGAAACGAATGACTCGAATAAAACGAATAATGAATAAATGAATAAAATGAATAAAACGAATGAATGAATAAATCAAATAATAAATGAATAAAAATGAATAAACAAATAAAATGAATGAATAAAGTAATTCGAATAAACAAATAGAAGGAGCGAACCAAATAATTCGAATAAAACAGATAAAATGAATATTTCGAATATTTCGAAGAATTCGTATCAGAAGGAATGGGAATTAATAGAGGCAATGAATGAATTTTGATTTATATAAAACTGTATATGGGGGCTGTTCTAGGAAAACACGGGTTAGAACTGATTTTTTTTTTTTGAGATATTTGCAAAAACAATTTTTCAAAA